ACACACACACACACACGGAAACCAATCAAACAGACATCATGGCTGTAGGCAAGAGCCAGAAGACAGCAATGGTGAAAAGCTGGAGAAGTACCAGGGCCTGAAAGAGGAACTAGAGAGGATGTGGAAAGTAAAGGCCAAGGAGGTCCCAGTGATGGTAGGATCATTTGGGTTGTGACACCAAATTGGAAAAGTGGTTCTAACAGAACCCAGGATCAACATCAGAGCCCTCTGTCCAGAAGAGCGCAGTGCTAGGAACAGCTAAATAATTGTGTAGAACCCTCAAACTCCTGGGCCTCAGGGAGAAATCCGAGATTGAGGAAGACACACTGTATACCACTCATATGGATGGGAAGAGAATTTTTTTTTGAAAAACAGGAATATTAGCAAATAGATATAACATAAGAAAAGAAAAACAATTATCACATACATTTTTATTTTTTACAATAATTTGTCATTTTTACATTATAAGAATGGATGCGTATTATTAAAACATTTAAATGATGGAATCAAATGACTAGCTTTTTAAACAGATTTGCCACAGTTCTCCTGAGTTTAATTTGCTACATTTGTTCTGTATGCGTATCATGTTGCATCCTTTTGACCATTATCCAAATGTTAATGGCATTTGGAAGGGGGCAGAGCGAAGGAAGAAAATTGCTATTTTCCTGAAAGAATTTGTAACTTCTTACTTCCTCCAATTCTTGTTTCCAACTAAGATCTTCCAATATAAAACAGCACAAGGCTCAACACAGCAAAGCAGTTTTCAACATAAATGCAGTGTTGTTTCTTGTACGACCCTTGTTTATTTCATGCAAAACCACAAAGAGTTGTATCCTTTTTAAATATTGTATTCAGATAAAGTATCTTATTTTTAAAAAAATATTATCATTTGTAGAATGGCATTTGTAAAGTTGTTTTGGAATAATTTCCAGATGGGTAGTTACTCTGCAAAAAAAAAAAAACACCTTTAAAATAATAAATAACTCTAAAATAATTTTGTTTAGCTCTTTTTTGTCTTTAAGGTATTACAAAGCTCTTTATATTATTTATATAACTTTATTTTTAATGCAAAAACTTATTTTTGATACACAGAAAAATGTTTAATTCAAGGAAAAATAATGCAGAAATATTTAGGAACCATTATGCACTAGAATGAAAAATTAAAATCCTTTATTTAACATATGTTTATATTCTGGGTTTTAAAAATATAGGATCATTAGGTCCCACTAGGTTATATAGTTACAATGATTAATATGGCTTAAAAGCCTAGTTCTTATATCCCATTTTGTTGTCATATATTTTACCTAAAGTATAAATAAAAGTAGCTAAGGGATTTTAAAAGCAACTCTCCATATTATGTGAATATACATCCTATGTAACTAATTTTTATTGAAAATTAAAGGATTGAATGAAACTTCCTAAAATTGAAACATTAAAGCAATGAAATATATCTTGTACTGACACTTTCCAAATTTCATTTGTATCTTCAGTATTATGAAACCAGAGAAAAGATTACAATAATGATTCTGATCTGACCGTCCTGCCCAGTCAAGGGGGATGTGTAGAAATGATAGGAGTAAGATGGCCCTTCAAATACTATGACTCCATGTCATGTAGGGTTTTGTAGGTAATAATCAACTCCTTGACTTACATGTGGAAAAAAACTGGAAGCCACTGCAGCTTGCAGAACAAAGATATAATACAGGCAAAGAACACACACCCCTAATTTTTCTTCCTCATCCCTAGGAGCCTACTGATCAGCCCCGTCAAGGGGTGCCTACTCAGAACAGCTTCTGCCTACAGCACTCAGCAGATCCCCTGGCCTATCCAAACACTCTCCTGCTCTCACTAGGCATTCATCCAAACAGATCTAAGGGTGATCAGAGCCAAGTGCTCTTCCCTCTCCAGGGTCCCTCTGAGGCAGTGGATTTGTTTTGAATAAAATGGATGAACATGTATTCAGATAGCTCCTGAATCATCCACATAAGCTTTGTAAAAGATTCCATTATTTTCACAATTTTAGAAAATACGATTTCACACATCTGCTCTCTTCTGAATACTTGCCTAGTGCTAATTAGCAAAGTACATATCCCGAATATATAAGGGCATGAATTACTCAATCTATTATCCAATATTCAACATTTAGTAAAACATTTGAACCTGAGCATGAAACTGCATCAGCAAAAGTTTGATTCTTATGCTAAAATAGCACTACTACTTTGTCCCAGTTAATAATTGTGAAATACAGAGAGAAATATGGGATATTTGAGAAACAGTAAGATGGACTGATTGCAGAAAAACTGGGATCTTTTGCATCTCCAATTTTAGATAGTATCTGTTATTTGTAAAAGGTAGGACTTTCCTTACAATACCACCTCTGTGAGATAATTTGGCTTAAAAAAGAATATCTAGAATCACCGAGACACTTTGGACAGCTGAGGCCAGACTGGACAGAGGTCTCCCCAGTCTTTCTTCAATACCTCAGTATAATTTGATTTACTGAAGATGAAATTTTGTTTTTGGAATATATCTGTTTTTACTAGAATGGAGAGATTACCAGATGTGATTAATGACCTTCAAGTTGGTTCAGTTTTTATCCCATATTGGAATAGATATTGGAAAATTCTGCTTTACACAGATATGAAATTAAATTTTATTTTAGTTTTGGAAATTTAAATAACAGAAAAACTTTTTTCTTTAAATTATTTTTTTTCTTTTTAAAATCTGTAGAAACTCAGGGAATTTTACATCTGTATGTACATCAAAGTATATGGCTCAATTATGTCATAGATTATTGATGATCTATTATACTAATAGAAAGAGATTACTTTTTCCCCTATGTTGAAAAAAAAGGAATTTGAAAGCCATACCAACATATGGTCCATTTTATTGTTTGCTATTTAACTATTGTTTGCTATTTA